ACACAGTGAGAGAGACACAGTGAGAGAGACACAGTGAGAGAGACACAGTGAGACAGACACAGTGAGACAGACACAGTGAGACAGACACAGTGAGACAGACACAGTGAGAGAGACACAGTGAGAGAGACACACAGTGAGAGAGACACAGTGAGAGAGACACAGTGAGAGAGACACAGTGAGAGAGAGACACAGTGAGAGAGAGACACAGTGAGAGAGAGAGACACAGTGAGAGAGACACAGTGAGAGAGAGACACAGTGAGAGAGACACGGTGAGAGAGACACGGGGTGAGAGAGACACAGTGAGAGAGACACAGTGAGAGAGACACGGGGTGAGAGAGACACGGGGTGAGAGAGACACAGTGAGAGAGAGACACAGTGAGAGAGAGACACAGTGAGAGAGAGAGACACACTGGGTGAGACAGACACAGTGAGACAGACACAGTGAGACAGACACGGGGTGAGAGAGACACAGTGAGAGAGAGACACAGTGAGAGAGAGACACAGTGAGAGAGAGACAGTGAGAGAGAGAGAGAGACACAGTGAGAGAGACAGACTCACAGTGAGAGAGACAGACTCACAGTGAGAGAGACAGACTCACAGTGAGAGAGACACACGGTGAGAGAGACACACAGTGAGACAGACACAGTCAGAGAGAGACAGTGAGAGAGAGACACAGTGAGAGAGACACAGTGAGAGAGAGACACAGTGAGAGAGACACAGTGAGAGAGAGACACAGTGAGAGAGACACAGTGAGAGAGACACAGTGAGAGAGACACACAGTGAGAGAGACACACAGTGAGAGAGACACACAGTGAGAGAGACACAGTGAGAGAGACACAGTGAGAGAGACACAGTGAGAGAGACACAGTGAGAGACAGGGGGTGAGAGAGAGACACAGTGAGAGAGAGACACGGTGAGAGAGACACGGTGAGACAGACACGGTGAGACAGACACGGTGAGAGAGACACGGTGAGACAGACACGGTGAGAGAGACACGGTGAGACAGACACGGTGAGAGAGACACGGTGAGACAGACACGGTGAGACAGACACGGTGAGACAGACACGGTGAGAGAGACACAGTGAGACAGACACAGTGAGACAGACACGGTGAGACAGACACAGTGAGAGAGACACAGTGAGAGAGAGACACAGTGAGAGAGACACAGTGAGAGAGAGACACAGTGAGAGAGAGACACAGTGAGAGAGACACAGTGAGAGAGAGAGAGACACAGTGAGAGAGAGAGACACAGTGAGAGAGAGAGACACAGTGAGAGAGAGAGACACAGTGAGAGAGACACAGTGAGAGAGACACAGTGAGAGAGACACAGTGAGACAGTCACAGTGAGACAGACACAGTGAGACAGACACAGTGAGAGAGACACAGTGAGAGAGACACACAGTGAGAGAGACACAGTGAGAGAGACACAGTGAGAGAGACACAGTGAGAGAGAGACACAGTGAGAGAGAGACACAGTGAGAGAGAGAGACACAGTGAGAGAAAGAGACACACGGGGTGAGACAGACACAGTGAGACAGACACGGGGTGAGAGAGACACAGTGAGAGAGAGACAGTGAGAGAGAGACACAGTGAGAGAGACACGGTGAGAGAGAGACACAGTGAGAGAGACACGGTGAGAGAGACACGGGGTGAGAGAGACACAGTGAGAGAGACACAGTGAGAGAGACACGGGGTGAGAGAGACACGGGGTGAGAGAGACACAGTGAGAGAGAGACACAGTGAGAGAGAGACACAGTGAGAGAGACAGACTCACAGTGAGAGAGACACACGGTGAGAGAGACACACAGTGAGACAGACACAGTCAGAGAGAGACAGTGAGAGAGAGACACAGTGAGAGAGACACAGTGAGAGAGAGACACAGTGAGAGAGACACAGTGAGAGAGAGACACAGTGAGAGAGACACAGTGAGAGAGACACAGTGAGAGAGAGACACAGTGAGACAGACACGGTGAGACAGACACAGTGAGAGAGACACAGTGAGAGAGAGACACAGTGAGAGAGACACAGTGAGAGACAGACACGGTGAGACAGACACAGTGAGAGAGAGACACAGTGAGAGAGACACGGTGAGAGAGAGACACAGTGAGAGAGACACGGTGAGACAGACACGGTGAGACAGACACAGTGAGAGAGAGACACAGTGAGAGAGACACAGTGAGTGAGAGAGACACGGTGAGAGAGAGAGGCACAGTGAGACAGACACAGTGAGAGAGAGACACAGTGAGAGAGAGAGACACACGGGGTGAGACAGACACAGTGAGACAGACACAGTGAGACAGACACGGGGTGAGAGAGACACAGTGAGAGAGAGACACAGTGAGAGAGAGACACAGTGAGAGAGAGACAGTGAGAGAGAGAGAGAGACACAGTGAGAGAGACAGACTCACAGTGAGAGAGACAGACTCACAGTGAGAGAGACAGACTCACAGTGAGAGAGACACACGGTGAGAGAGACACACAGTGAGACAGACACAGTCAGAGAGAGACAGTGAGAGAGAGACACAGTGAGAGAGAGACACAGTGAGAGAGACACAGTGAGAGAGAGACACAGTGAGAGAGACACAGTGAGAGAGACACAGTGAGAGAGAGACACAGTGAGACAGACACGGTGAGACAGACACAGTGAGAGAGACACAGTGAGACAGACACGGTGAGACAGACACGGTGAGACAGACACGGTGAGACAGACACAGTGAGAGAGAGACACAGTGAGAGAGACACAGTGAGTGAGAGAGACACGGTGAGAGAGAGAGGCACAGTGAGACAGACACAGTGAGAGAGAGACACAGACACAGTGAGACAGACACAGTGAGACAGACACAGTGAGACAGACACAGTGAGAGAGAGACACAGTGAGAGAGACACAGTGAGTGAGAGAGACACGGTGAGAGAGAGAGACACGGTGAGAGAGACACAGTGAGAGAGACACAGTGAGACAGACACAGTGAGAGAGAGACACAGTGAGAGAGAGACACAGTGAGAGAGACAGGGTGAGAGAGAGACACAGTGAGAGAGAGACACAGTGAGAGAGACAGGGTGAGAGAGAGAGACACACAGTGAGAGAGAGAGACAGTGAGAGAGAGAGACAGTGAGAGAGAGACACAGTGAGAGAGACACAGTGAGAGAGAGACACAGTGAGACAGACACAGTGAGAGAGAGACACAGTGAGAGAGAGACACAGTGAGAGAGACACAGTGAGACAGACACAGTGAGAGAGAGACACAGTGAGACAGACACGGTGAGACAGACACAGTGAGAGAGACACAGTGAGAGAGAGACACAGTGAGAGAGACACAGTGAGAGACAGACACGGTGAGACAGACACAGTGAGAGAGAGACACAGTGAGAGAGACACGGTGAGAGAGAGACACGGTGAGACAGACACGGTGAGACAGACACAGTGAGAGAGAGACACAGTGAGAGAGACACAGTGAGTGAGAGAGACACGGTGAGAGAGAGAGGCACAGTGAGACAGACACAGTGAGAGAGAGACACAGTGAGAGAGAGAGACACACGGGGTGAGACAGACACAGTGAGACAGACACAGTGAGACAGACACGGGGTGAGAGAGACACAGTGAGAGAGAGACACAGTGAGAGAGAGACACAGTGAGAGAGAGACAGTGAGAGAGAGAGAGAGACACAGTGAGAGAGACAGACTCACAGTGAGAGAGACAGACTCACAGTGAGAGAGACAGACTCACAGTGAGAGAGACACACGGTGAGAGAGACACACAGTGAGACAGACACAGTCAGAGAGAGACAGTGAGAGAGAGACACAGTGAGAGAGACACAGTGAGAGAGAGACACAGTGAGAGAGACACAGTGAGAGAGAGACACAGTGAGAGAGACACAGTGAGAGAGACACAGTGAGAGAGAGACACAGTGAGACAGACACGGTGAGACAGACACAGTGAGAGAGACACAGTGAGACAGACACGGTGAGACAGACACGGTGAGACAGACACGGTGAGACAGACACAGTGAGAGAGAGACACAGTGAGAGAGACACAGTGAGTGAGAGAGACACGGTGAGAGAGAGAGGCACAGTGAGACAGACACAGTGAGAGAGAGACACAGTGAGACAGACACAGTGAGACAGACACAGTGAGACAGACACAGTGAGACAGACACAGTGAGAGAGAGACACAGTGAGAGAGACACAGTGAGTGAGAGAGACACGGTGAGAGAGAGAGACACGGTGAGAGAGACACAGTGAGAGAGACACAGTGAGACAGACACAGTGAGAGAGAGACACAGTGAGAGAGAGACACAGTGAGAGAGACAGGGTGAGAGAGAGACACAGTGAGAGAGAGACACAGTGAGAGAGACAGGGTGAGAGAGAGAGACACACAGTGAGAGAGAGAGACAGTGAGAGAGAGAGACAGTGAGAGAGAGAGACAGTGAGAGAGAGACACAGTGAGAGAGACACAGTGAGAGAGAGACACAGTGAGACAGACACAGTGAGAGAGAGACACAGTGAGAGAGACACAGTGAGACAGACACAGTGAGAGAGACACAGTGAGAGAGACACAGTGAGAGAGAGAGAGAGACATAGTGAGAGAGACACAGTGAGAGAGACAGACTCACAGTGAGAGAGACACACGGTGAGAGAGACACACGGTGAGACAGACAGTCAGAGAGAGACGCACAGTGAGATTCACGGGGTGAGAGGCTCACAGGGTGAGAGAGACACAGTGAGACAGACACGGTGAGACAGACACAGTGAGAGAGACACAGTGAGTGAGAGAGACACGGTGAGAGAGAGAGACACAGTGAGAGAGACACAGTGAGTGAGAGAGACACGGTGAGAGAGACAGACACGGTGAGACAGACACGGTGAGACAGACACAGTGAGAGAGAGAGACAGGGTGAGAGACACAGTGAGAGAGACACACAGTGAGAGAGACACACAGTGAGAGAGACAGACACAGTGAGACAGACATCTCCACCTGTACAACTACCCCCCCCTTTGTCCAGGGAGCTGCGCTTCCAGCAGCAGCAGCGCCACCACCACCACCACCACCGCGTGCTTCAGCTGGAGGCTCTGAGCATGCGTCGCTCGCGTGCCATGCAGCGAGGGGGAGTCTTCTCCTCTCACTTCCTGCTCCTCTTCCTGCCCAGCGTCCTGCTCACTCACGTGCTGGCCCTCGGCATCGGGTAGGGGAGGCGTCATGGTGGGCGTGGGGGGCGTGGGGGGCGTGGTGGTGGTGGTGGGCGTGGTGGTGGGCGTGGTGGTGGTGGTGGGCGTGGTGGTGGTGGTGGGCGTGGTGGTGGTGGTGGGCGTGGTGGTGGTGGGCGTGGGGGGGCGTGGCGGGAGGATGTGGTGGGCGTGGTGGTGGGCGTGGTGGTGGGCGTGGTGGTGGGCGTGGTGGTGGGCGTGGTGGGTGTGGTGGTGGGCGTGGTGGGGGGCGTGTCAGGAGGAGTGGTGGGCGTGGTGGTGGGCGTGGTGGGTGTGGTGGTGGGCGTGGGGGGGCGTGGCGGGAGGAGTGGTGGGCGTGGTGGTGGGCGTGGTGGGGGGCGTGTCGGGAGGAGTGGTGGGCGTGGTGGGGGGCGTGGCCGGTGACGTGGGGGGGGGGGCGTGGCGGGAGGTGTGGTGGGCGTGACCGGTGACGTGGGGGGGCGTGGCGGGTGACGTGGGAGGCGTGGCGGGTGACGTGGGAGGCGTGGCGGGAGGCGTGGGGGGCGTGGTGGGCGTGGCGGGGGAGGTGGTGGGCGTGGCGGGAGGCGTGGGAAAAGGCGTGGTGGGCGTGGCGGGGGAGGTGGTGGGCGTGGCGGGAGGCGTGGTGGGCGTGGCGGGCCACGTTGGGGGGCGTGGCGGGAGGCGTGGCGGGAGGCGTGGGGGGCGTGGCCCGCCACGTGGGGGGCGTGGTATAGAATGGCATGGCACTGCATGGCATTGTTGATGATCATCATGATGGTTGCTATGGTGGTGATGGTGGTTGCTATGGTGGTGATGGTGGTTGCTATGGTGGTGATGATGGTTGCTACGGTGGTGATGATGGTTGCTACGGTGGTGATGATGGTGATGGTTGCCAAGGTGGTGATGGTGGTTGCTATGGTGGTGATAGTGGTTGCTATGGTGGTGATGATGGTTGCTATGGTGGTGATTATGGTTGCTATGGTGGCTATGATGGTTGCTATGGTGGTGATGTTGATGGTTGCTATGGTGGTGACGGTGGTTGCTATGGTGGTGATGATGGTTGCTATGGTGGTGATGGTGGTTGCTACGCTGATGTTAATGGTTGCTATGGTGGTGATGGTGGTTGCTATGGTGGTAATGGTGGTTGCTATGGTGGTGATGGTGGTTGCTATGGTAATGTTAATGGTTGCTATGGTGGTGATGGTGGTTGCTATGGTGGTGATGGTGGTGGTTGCTATGGTGGTGATGATGGTTGCTATGGTGGTGATGATGATGGTTGCTATGGTGGTGATGATGGTTGCTATGGTGGTGATGTTGATGGTTGCTATGGTGGTGACGGTGGTTGCTATGGTGGTGATGGTGGTTGTTGTGGTGGTGATGGTGGTTGCTATGGTGGTGATGATGGTGGTTGCTATGGTGGTGATGGTGGTTGCTATGGTGGTGATGATGGTTGCTATGGTGGTGATGGTGGTTGCTACGGTGGTGATGGTTGCTATGGTGGTGATGATGGTTGCTATGGTGGTGATGGTGGTTGCTATGGTGGTGATGATGGTTGCTATGGTGGTGATGATGATGGTTGCTATGGTGGTGATGATGATGGTTGCTATGGTGGTGATGTTAATGGTTGCTATGGTGGTGATGGTGGTTGCTATGGTGGTGATGGTGGTTGCTATGGTGGTGATGGTGGGTGCTATGGGTGATGGTGGTTGCTATGGTGGTGATAATGGTTGCTATGGTGGTGATGATGATGGTTCCTATGCTGGTGGTGGTGGTTGCTATGGTGGTGATGGTGGTTGCTATGGTGGTGATGGTGGTTGCTATGGTGGTGATGTTAATGGTTGCTATGGTGGTTATGGTGGTTGCTATGGTGGTGATGGTGGTTGCTATGGTGGTGATGATGGTTGCTATGGTGGTGATGATGGTTGCTATAGTGGTGATGATGGTTGCTATGGTGGTGATGATGGCTGCTATGGTGGTGATGATGATGGTTGCTATGGTGGTGATGATGATGGTTGCTATGGTGGTGGTGATGGTGGTTGCTATGGTGGTGATGGTGGTTGCTATGGTGGTGATGATGGTTGCTATGGTGGTGATTATGATGGTTGCTATGGTGGTGATGGTGGTTGCTATGGTGGTGATGATGGTTGCTATGGTGGTTGCTGTGGTGGTGATGATGGTCGTTGCTATGGTGATTGCTATGGTGTGATGGTGGTTGCTATGGTGGTGATGTTAATGGTTGCTATGGTGGTTATGGTTGTTGCTATGGTGGTGATGGTGGTTGCTATGGTGGTGATGATGGTTGCTATGGTGGTGATGATGGTTGCTATGGTGGTGATGATGGTTGCTATGGTGGTGATGATGGCTGCTATGGTGGTGATGATGATGGTTGCTATGGTGGTGGTGATGGTGGTTGCTATGGTGGTGATGGTGGTTGCTATGGTGGTGATGATGGTTGCTATGGTGGTGATTATGATGGTTGCTATGGTGGTGATTATGATGGTTGCTATGGTGGTGATGGTGGTTGCTATGGTGGTGATGGTGGTTGCTATGGTGGTGATGATGGTTGCTATAGTGGTGATGATGGTTGCTATGGTGGTGATGATGGTTGCTATGGTGGTGATGATGATGGTTGCTATGGTGGTGATGATGATGGTTGCTATGGTGGTGGTGATGGTGGTTGCTATGGTGGTGATGGTGGTTGCTATGGTGGTGATGATGGTTGCTATGGTGGTGATTATGATGGTTGCTATGGTGGTGATGGTGGTTGCTATGGTGGTGATGATGGTTGCTATGGTGGTTGCTATGGTGGTTGCTGTGGTGGTGATGATAGTCGTTGCTATGGTGGTTGCTATGGTGTGATGGTGGTTGCTATGGTGGTGATGCTGCTGTGTGATTCAGGATTCTGATTGGACGGAAACTGAGCGGAGGAGCGGTCAGCAACAGCAGCCTGTGAACACTCACGCTGGTTGCCATGGAGATGCACACACACCCACTCACTCACCTACCCACTCACTCACCTACACACTCACCCACTCACTCACCTACTCACTCACCCACTCACTCACCTACTCACTCACCCACTCTTTCACTCACCTACTCACCTACTCACTCACCTACTCACTCACCTACTCACTCACCTACTCACCCACTCACTCACCTACTCACTCACCCACTCTTTCACTCACCTACTCACTCACCCACTCGCTGACCCACTCGCTCACTCACTCGCTCACCCACTCGCTCACCCACTCGCTCACTCACCCACTCACTCACCCACTCTCTCACCCACTCACCAACTCACTCATCCACTCACTCACTCATCCACTCACTCACCCACCCACTCACCAACTCACCAACTCACCCACTCACTCACCCACTCACCCACCCACCCACTCACTCACCCACTCACTCACCTACTCACTCACTCACTCACCCACCCACTCACTCACCCACTCACCCACTCACTCACTCACCTACTCACTCACCCACTCACTCACCCACCAACTCACCCACCCACTCACCCACCCACTCACTCACCCACTCACCAACTCACCCACTCACTCACTCACCCACTCACCCACTCACTCACCACCACCACAGCCGTTCCAGAACCCTCCTGCTGATTTCAATGATTGTGACGTTGATTCTAGTGATGGTTGCCATGGTGACGAGAGGTTACCACGGTAATGGTGGTTGCTATGGTAATGCTGAGGCCGATGATGATTACCATGGTGATTATAGTGATGATGGTTTCATTGGTAATGCTTAGTTATACTATGTTAATGCTGGTGGAAACGCAACGATGGTTGCCATGGTGATGGTGGTAACGATGGTTACCATTGTGATGGTGGTAACGATGGTTGCCATGGTGACGGTGGTAATGATGGTTACGGTGGCAATGCCGGTGGCGACGGCGGTGATGATTATGGTAACGCTGATTTGCTGTTGCTATGGTGACGTTGATTTGCGGTTGCTATGGTAACGCTGATGTTCAATGCGCTGCGTGAATTAAAGAGGTGGTGACGTCACCACTAGAGGCGCCGTAACCCGGGGAGACCGCGCAGATGAGACACTGTACACCACACTGTACACTACATTGTACACTACACTGTATACTACACTATACACTACACTACTGCACTACACACTACACTATACACTACTACACTGCTACACTACACACTACTACACTATACACTACTACACTACACTATACACTGCTACACTACACACTGCTACACTACATACTATACACTGCTACACTACACACTATACACTACACTATACACTACACTAAACACTACTATACTTTACACTACACTATACACTGCTACACTACACACTACTAAACTATACACTACACACTACACTATACACTTATACACTATACACTACTACACTACACACTACTACACTATACACTACACACTACTACACTACACACTATTACACTATACACTACACACTATACACTACTACACTATTACACTACTACACACTACTACACTATACACTTATACACTATACAATACTACATTACACTACTACACTATATACTACTACACTATACACTACACACTACTATACACTACTACACTATACACTACAACACTAAACACTATACACTACACACTACTACACTATACACTACACACTACTATACACACTACTACACTACACACTACTATACACACTACTACACTATACACTACACTATACACTACACACTACTATACACTACACACTACTGTACACTACACTATACACTACACACTACTATACACTACACACTACTATACACTACTACACTATACACTACTACACTATACACTACTACACTACTATACACACTACTACACTGCACACTACTATACACTACTATACACTACAACACTATACACTAAACACTACTACACTATACACTACTACATTACACACTACTATACACTACTATACACTACTACACACTACTATACACTATACACACTACACTATACACTACTACACTATACACTACACACTACTACTACACTACACACTACTATACACTACTATACACTATACACTACTATACACTATACACTACACACTACTATACACTACACTATACACTACACACTACTGTACACTACACTATACACTACACACTACTATACACACTACTACACTATACACTACACTACTACACTATACACTACACACTACTATACACTACACACTACTGTAGACTACACTATACACTACACACTACTATACACTATACACTACTACACTATACACTACTATACACTACACTCTACTATACACTACACACTACTATACACTACACACTACTGTACACTACACTATACACTACACACTACTATACACTATACACTACTACACTATACACTACTATACACTACACTCTACTATACACTACACACTACTATACACACTACTACACTATACACTACACACTACTATACACTACTACACTATACACTACACACTACTACACTATACACTACTACACTATACACTACACACTACTATACACTATACACTACACACTACTATACACTACACACTACTATACACTACTACACTACACACTACTATACACTACACACTACTATACACTATACACTACTACACTATACACTACACACTACTATACACACTACTACACTATACACTACACACTACTATACACACTACTACACTATACACTACACTATACACTACACTACTACACTATACACTACACTACACACTACTATATACACTATACACACTACTACACACTACTACTACACTACTACACACTACTATACACTACACACTACTACTACACTACACTATACACTACACACTACTACACTACACACTATACACTACTACACTACACTATACACTACTACTACTACACTACTATACACTACACTATACACTACTACTACACTACTATACACTACACTATACACTACTACTACTACACTACTATACACTACACTATACACTACTACTACACTACTATACACTACACTATACACTACTACTACTACACTACTATACACTACACTATACACTACTACTACACTACTATACACTACACTATACACTACTACACTACTATACACTACACTATACACTACACTACACACTACACTATACACTGCACTATACACTAATATACACTACACTATACACTACACTACACACTACACACTACACTATACACTACACTATACACTAATATACACTACACTACATTACTATACACTACACTATACACTACATTACTATACACTACACTATACACTACATTACTATACACTACACTATACACTACACTATACACTACACTATACACTGCACTACACTATACACTGCACTATACACTGCACTATACACTACACTATACACTACACTATACACTACACTATACACTACACTATACACTACACTATACACTACACTACACACTACACTATACACTACACTATACACTACACTATACACTACACTACACACTACACTATACACTACACTATACACTAATATACACTACACTATACACTACTACTACACACTACACTATACACTACACTATACACTACTCACTACACTACACACTACACTACATTAGACAGGAGACGGCAGCGCTTTCAATGGAAGTTTTATTAACACCGCGAGAGGGGGAGGGTGGTGGGTGGAGTCTAGCTGGTGGTGGGTGGAGTCTAGCTGGTGGTGGGTGGAGTCTAACTGGTGGTGGGTGGAGTCGAACTGGTGGTGGGTGGAGTCGAACTGGTGGTGGGTGGAGTCGAACTGGTGGTGGGTGGGGTCTAACTGGTGGTGGGTGGGGTCTAACTGGTGGTGGGTGGAGTCGAACTGGTGGTGGATGGGGTCTAACTGGTGGTGGGTGGGGTCGAACTGGTGGACGCTGTATGTAGACACGCCCCCAGCTGTCTCCGCAGTGTCTAAGTGGCTCTCAGCTCTAGCCCCTCCCCTCCTGGGCTATAGCCCCTCTTCCCCTGGGCTGTAGCTCCACCCCCCTGAGCTGTGGCCCCTCCCACAAGACTTTTGCTCCACCCTCTGTGCTGTAGCTCCACCCTCTTGGTTGAATCTCCTCCCCTCCTTTGGGCTGTAGCTCCACCCCCTTGGTTGAATGTCCTCCCCCCCCCCCCCCTTTGGCTGTAGCTCCACCCCCTTGGTTGAATCTCCTCCCCCCCCCCTTTGCCTGTAGCTCCACCCCCTTGCTTGAATCTCCTCCCCTCCTTTGGCTGTAGCTCCACCCCCTTGGTTGAATCTCCCCCCCCCCCTTTGGCTGTAGCTCCACCCCCGTGGTTGAATCTCCTCCCTCCTTCTTTGGGCTGTAGCTCCACCCCCTTTGGTTGAATCTCCTCCCCCCACCGGGTGCTGCGGCTGCTCCTATTGGCTCAGTCCTTGTCGTCGCCGTGCGTGATGGTGTAGCAGAGGGCGTGGTAGTCCAGGACGCCACTCCCACTGATGGGGGCCAGCTTGGTCATCTGTTCCAACTGGGTGGGGGGTGAAGGGGTGGGGGGGTGGGGGGGTGAAGGGGTGAAGGGGTGGGGGGGTGAAGGGGTGGGTGGGTGAGTGGGTGGGTGGGTGGGTGAGTGGGTGGGTGGGTGAGTGGGTGGGTGAGTGGGTGGGTGGGTGAGTGGGTGAGTGGGTGGGTGGGTGGGTGAGTGAGTGGGTGGGTGAGTGGGTGGGTGGGTGAGTGGGTGAGTGGGTGAGTGGGTGGGTGGGTGATTGGGTGGGTGATCGGGTGGGTGGGTGAGTGGGTGGGTGAGTTGGTGAGTGAGTGCGTGGGTGAGTTGGTGAGTGAGTGGGTGGGTGAGTTGGTGAGTGAGTGGGTGAGTGAGTTGGTGAGTGAGTTGGTGGGTGAGTGGGTGGGTGAGTGGGTGGGTGAGTTGGTGAGTGAGTGAGTTGGGGAGTGAGTGAGTGAGTGAGTTGGTGAGTGAGTGAGTGGGTGAGTGAGTGGGTGAGTGAGTTGAGTGAGTGGGTGGGTGAGTGGGTGAGTGAGTGGGTGAGTGAGTTGGTGAGTGAGTGGGTGAGTGAGTGAGTGGGTGAGTGAGTGGGTGGGTGAGTGGGTGAGTTGGTGAGTGAGTGGGTGGGTGGGTGAGTGAGTTGGTGAGTGAGTGAGTGGGTGAGTGAGTTGGTGAGTGAGTGGGTGAGTGAGTTGGTGAGTGAGTGAGTTGGTGAGTGAGTGGATGAGTGAGTGGGTGGGTGAGTGGGTGGGTGAGTTGGTGAGTGAGTTGGTGAGTGAGTTGGTGAGTGAGTGGGTGAATGAGTGAGTGGGTTGGTGAGTGAGTGAGTTGGTGGGTGAGTGAGTGAGTGAGTTGGTGAGTGAGTGGGTGAGTGAGTTGGTGAGTGAGTTGGTGAGTGAGTGGGTGAGTGAGTGAGTTGGTGAGTGAGTGGGTGGGTGAATGGGTGGGTGGGTGAGTGAGTGGGTGAGTGAGTGGGTGAGTGAGTTGGTGAGTGAGTGGGTGAGTGAGTTGGTGAGTGAGTTGGTGAGTGAGTGGGTGAGTGAGTTGGTGAGTGAGTTGGTGAGTGGGTGAGTGAGTTGGTGAGTGAGTTGGTGAGTGAGTGGATGAGTGAGTGGGTGAGTGAGTGGGTGAGTGAGTTGGTGAGTGAGTGGGTGGGTGAGTGAGTGAATGAGTTGGTGAGTGAGTGAGTTGGTGAGTGAGTGGGTAAGTGAGTGGGTGGGTGAGTGAGTGGGTGAGTGAATTGGTGAGTGAGTGGGTGAGTGGGTGGGTGAGTGGGTGAATGAGTTGGTGAGTGAGTGAGTTGGTGAGTGAGTGGGTGGGTGAATGGGTGGGTGGGTGAGTTGGTGAGTGGGTGAGTGAGTTGGTGAGTGAGTGGGTGAGTGAGTTGGTGAGTGAGTTGGTGAGTGAGTTGGTGAGTGAGTGGGTGAGTGAGCTGGTGAGTGAGTTGGTGGGTGAGTGAGTGAGTGGGTGAGTGGGTGAGTGAGTGGGTGGGTGAGTGGGTGAGTGAGTGGGTGGGTGAGTGGGTGAGTGAGTTGGTGAGTGAGTGGGTGGGTGAGTGGGTGAGTGAGTTGGTGAGTGAGTGGGTGAGTGAGTGAGTTGGTGAGTGAGTGGATGACTGAGTTGGTGAGTGAGTGGGTGAGTGAGTGGGTGGGTGAGTGAGTGGGTGAGTGAGTTGTTGAGTGAGTGGGTGAGTGGGTGGGTGAGTGGGTGAATGAGTTGGTGAGTGAGTTGGTGGGTGAGTGAGTGAGTAGGTGAGTGAGTGGGTGAGTGAGTTGGTGAGTGAGTTGGTGAGTGAGTGGGTGAGTGAGTGAGTGGGTGGGTGAGTGAGTTGGTGAGTGAGTTGGTGGGTGAGTGAGTGAGTGGGTGGGTGAGTTGGTGAGTGAGTTGGTGAGTGAGTTGGTGAGTGAGTTGGTGAGTGAGTTGGTGAGTGAGTGAGTGGGTGGGTGAGTGAGTTGGTGAGTGAGTTGGTGGGTGAGTGAGTGAGTGGGTGGGTGAGTTGGTGAGTGAGTTGGTGAGTGAGTTGGTGAGTGAGTTGGTGAGTGAGTTGGTGAGTGAGTTGGTGAGTGAGTTGGTGAGTGGGTGAGTGAATTGGTGAGTGGGTTGGTGAGTGAGTTGGTGAGTGAGTGAGTGGGTGAGTGGGTGAGTGAGTTGGTGAGTGAGTTGGTGAGTGAGTGGGTGAGTGAGTGGGTGGGTGAGTGAGTGAGTTGGTGAGTGAGTTGGTGAGTGGGTGAGTGAGTTGGTGAGTGAGTTGGTGAGTGAGTGGGTGAGTGAGTGGGTGGGTGAGTGAGTGAGTTGGTGAGTGAGTTGGTGAGTGAGTTGGTGAGTGAGTTGGTGAGTGAGTTGGTGAGTGTACAGGTGACCAACTCACCTCCTCCGCATTGAATTTATCAGCCCAGCGGGTCAGGTAAACCTTGAACCTAGCCACACAGACACAGACAGAGATCCCCCAGGTAGCCTCTAGCAGGGCTGTAGGGGCAAGTGCTGAGACACAGACAAAGCTCCCCAGGTAGCCTCTAGCAGGGCTGTAGGGGCAAGTGGTGAGACACAGACAAAGCTCCCCCAGGTAGTCTCTAGCAGGGCTGTAGGGGCAAGTGCTGAGACACAGACAAAGCTCCCCCAGGTAGCCTCTAGCAGGGCTGTAGGGGCAAGTGGTGAGACACAGACAAAGCTCCCCCAGGTAGCCTCTAGCAGGGCTGTAGGGGCAAGTGCTGAGACACAGACAAAGCTCCCCCAGGTAGCCTCTAGCAGGGCTGTAGGGGCAAGTGCTGAGACACAGACAAAGCTCCCCCAGGTAGCCTCTAGCAGGGCTGTAGGGGCAAGTGGTGAGACACAGACAAAGCTCCCCCAGGTAGCCTCTAGCAGGGCTGTAGGGGCAAGTGCTGAGACACAGACAAAGCTCCCCAAGGTAGCCTCTAGCAGGGCTGTAGGGGCAAGTGCTGAGACACAGACAAAGCTCCCCCAGGTAGCCTCTAGCAGGGCTGTAGGGGCAAGTGCTGAGACACAAAGCTCCCCCAGGTAGCCTCTAGCAGGGCTGTAGGGGCAAGTGCTGTGTTAGTAGCGAGTAGCAGCAGCAGCGTCTATGAAGGCTACCGGCACTGTGGCTACACACAGAGGGGGTGGGTGGCCAACACCACCACCACTACACCACCACCACTACACCATCACTACACCACCACTAGACCACCACCACCACTACCACCACTACACCACCACTACCACCACTACACCACCACTACACCACCACCACTACACCACCACTACTACCACTAATACACCACTAATACACCACCACTACACCACCACTACCACCACTACACCACCACTACCACCACCACTACACCACCACTACACCATCCCCACTACCACCATCACCACTACACCACTACCACCACTACACCACTACCACCACCACTACACCACCACTACCACCACTACCACCACCACTACACCACCATCACCACTACCACCACTACACCACTACCACCACCACTACACCACCACTACCACCACCACTACACCACCACTACCACCACTACACCACCACTACTACCACTACCACCACTACCACCACCACTACACCACCACTACCACCACCACTACACCACCACTACTACCACTACTACACCACCACTACCACCACTACACCACCACTACTACCACTACTACACCACCACTACCACCACCACTACCACCACCACCACCACCACTAATACCACGGTGTGATAGCAACACCACCACCACCACTACTATACCACCACTACCACCACCACTACACCACCACTACTACCACTACTACACCACCACTACACTACCACCACCACTACACCACCACTACCACCACTACACCACCACCACTACTACACCACCACCACTACTACACCACCACTACCACCACTACACCACCACCACTACTACACCACCACCACTACTACACCACCACTACCACCACTACACCACCACTACACCACCACTACACCACTACTACACCACTACTACACCACCACTACCACCACTACACCACCACTACTACACCACCACTACACCACCACACCACCATCCCCACTACCACCACCACCACAACACCATCCCCACTACCACCACTACACCACCACTACACCACCACTACCACCACTACACCACTACCACCACCACTACACCACTACTACCACCACCACCACAACACCATCCCCACTACCACCACCACCACGCCCGGCCGCCTTTGTCTCTCCCTACTCACTCTTCGAAGTTGATGTTTCCCTTTCCGCTGTTGTCAAACATCGCGAAGGAGTTGAGCAGAGTCTCCTCATTGTCTGTGCCTGTGGTGAGCACACGGTGAGTGGTGAGTGGTGGTGAGTGGTGAGTGAGTGGTGAGTGGTGAGCACACGGTGAGTGGTGAGTGGTGAGCACACGGTGAGTGGTGAGTGAGTGGTGAGTGAGTGGTGAGCACACGGTGAGTGGTGAGTGGTGAGCACACGGTGAGTGAGTGAGTGGTGAGTGAGTGGTGAGCACACGGTGGGTGGTGAGTGGTGAGCACACGGTGAGTGAGTGAGTGGTGAGTGAGTGGTGAGCACACGGTGGGTGGTGAGTGGTGAGTGAGTGGTGAGTGAGTGGTGAGTGAGCGAGTGAGTGGTGAGTGAGTGGTGGGTGAGTGGTGAGTGAGTGGTGAGTGGTCAGCACACGGTGGGTGGTGAGTGAGTGGTGAGTGAGTGGTGAGTGATTGGGTGAGTGGTGAGTGAGTGGTGAGTGAGTGGTGAGTCAGTGGTGAGTGAGTGAGTGGTGAGTGAGTGGTGGGTGAGTGGTGAGTGAGTGGTGAGTGGTCAGCACACGGTGGGTGGTGAGTGAGTGGTGAGTGAGTGGTGAGTGATTGGGTGAGTGGTGAGTGAGTGGTGAGTGAGTGGTGAGTGAGTGAGTGAGTGGTGAGTGAGTGGTGAGTGAGTGAGTGGTGGGTGAGTGGTGAGTGAGTGGTGAGTGAGTGATTGGGTGAGTGGTGAGTGAGTGGTGAGCACACGGTGAGTGGTGAGTGAGTGGTGAGTGAGTGAGTGGATGAGTGAGTGAGTGATTGGGTGAGTGGTGAGTGAGGTGGTGAGTGAGGTGAGTGAGTGGTGAGTGAGGTGGTGAGTGAGTGGTGAGTGAGTGAGTGGTGAGTGAGTGAGTGGTGAGTGAGTGAGTGTATGGGTGAGTGATTGCGTGAGTGGTGAGTAAGGTGGTGAGTGAGGTGTTGAGTAAGGTGGTGAGTGAGTGGTGAGTGAGGTGGTGAGTGAGTGGTGAGTGATTGGGTGAGTGAGTGATTGAGTGAGTGATTGGGTGAGTGATTGAGTGAGTGAGTGTATGAGTGAGTGAGTGAGTGGTGAGTAAGGTGGTGAGTGAGGTGGTGCGTGAGTGAGGTGGTGAGTGAGTGGTGAGTGAGTGGTGAGTGAGTGAGGTGGTGAGTGAGGTGGTGAGTGAGTGGTGAGTAAGGTGGTGAGTAAGGTGGTGAGTAAGGTGGTGAGTGAGGTGGTGAGTGAGGTGGTGAGTGACCTGGTGAGTGAGGTAGTGAGTGAGGTGGTGAGTGAGGTGGTGAGTGAGGTGGTGAGTAAGGTGGTGAGTGAGGTGGTGAGTGAGTGGTGAGTGAGTGAGGTGGTGAGTGAGTGGTGAGTGAGGTGGTGAGTGAGGTGGTGATTGAGGTGGTGAGTGAGTGAGTGTATGAGTGAGGTGGTGAGTGAGGTGGTGAGTGAGTGTATGAGTGAGGTGGTGAGTAAGGTGGTCAGTAAGGTGGTGAGTGAGTGGTTGAGTGGTGAGTGAGGTGGTGAGTGAGTGTATGAGTGAGGTGGTGAGTAAGGTGGTCAGTAAGGTGGTGAGTAATGTGGTGAGTAAGGTGGTGAGTGAGTGGTGAGTGAGGTGGTGAGTGAGTGAGTGTATGAGTGAGTGAGTGTATGAGTGAGTGTATGAGTGAGTGTGTGAGTGAGTGTGTGAGTGAGTGAGTGTATGAGTGAGTGTGTGAGTGAGTGAGTGTATGAGTGAGTGTATGAGTGAGTGAGTGTATGAGTGAGTGAGTGAGTGTATGAGTGAGTGAGTGTATGAGTGAGTGAGTGGTGAGTGAGGTGGTGAGTAATGTGGTGAGTAACCTCACCACTGAGCTTGGCCCCGAAGATGGACAGGAACGTGTCAAAGTTGAGAGGTCCTGGGGACTCTTTCATCAGCTCATTCAGCTCTCCGTCACCCACACTCTTACCTACATCAACATCATCATCAGCATCATCATCATCAACATCACCTACATCGCCAACATCATCATCATCAACATCATCATCATCAACATCATCACCTACATCATCAACATCATCAACATCATCATCAACATCATCATCATAAACATCATCAACATCATCAGCTCATTCAGCTCTCCGTCACCCACACTCTTACCTACATCACCATCATCAACATCACCAACATCATCACCTACATCATCAACATCATCAACATCATCATCAACATCATCATCATAAACATCATCAACATCATCAGCTCATTCAGCTCTCCGTCACCCACACTCTTACCTACATCAACATCATCAACATCACCAACATCATCACCTACAACATCAACATCATCAACATCATCAACATCATCATCACCAACATCATCAGCACCATCATCAACATCATCATCAACATCATCATCAGCTCATTCAGCTCTCCGTCACCCACACTCTTACCTACATCACCACCATCATCATCAACATCACCAACATCATCACCTACAACATCAACATCATCAACATCATCAGCTCATTCAGCTCTCCGTCACCCACACTCTTACCTACATCACCAACATCATCAGCATCATCATCAACATCATCACCTACAACATCATCATCATCAACATCATCATCAACATCATCAACATCATCACGTACAACATCAACATCATCAACATCATCATCAACATCATCATCATCAGCATCATCAACAACAACATCATCATCATCACCTACAACATCATCATCATCAACATCACCAATATCATCACCTACAACATCAACATCATCAACATCATCATCAGCATCATCAACAACAACATTATCATCATCACCTACAACATCATCAGCATCATCATCATCACCTACAACATCAACATCATCATCATCATCAACTTCATCAGCTCATTCAGCTCTCCATCACCCACACTCTTACCTACATCACCAACATCATCATCATCACCTACAACATCACCTACATCATCAACATCATCATCAACATCATCAACATCATCATCATCACCTACAACATCAACATCATCATCAACTTCATCAGCTCATTCAGCTCTCCATCACCCACACTCTTACCTACATCACCAACATCATCATCATCATCACCTGCAACATCACCTACATCATCAACATCATCAGCATCATCAACATCATCATCAACATCATCATCATCAACATCATCATCACCCACATCATCATCATCAACATCATCAGGTCATTCAGCTCTCCATCAACCAAACTCTTACCTATATCACCAACATCATCATCAACATCACCTACAACATCACCTACATCACCAACATCATCATCAACATCACCAACATCATCATCATCATCAACATCATCAACATCACCTACATCACCTACATCACCAACATCATCACCAACATCATAATCAACATCACCAACATCATCATCATCATCATCAATATCATCATCAACATCACCTACAACATCACCTACATCACCAACATCACCAACATCATCATCACCAACATCAGCTACATCATCATCAACATCATCATGACCACCATCAACATCATCATCAACATCATCATCAACATGAACATCATCAACATCACCAACATCACCACCATCACCACCACCATCATCACCACCACCTCCATCACCACCATCACCACCATCATCACCACCACCATCACCATCATCACCACCACCTCCATCACCACCATCACCACCACCATCACCACCACCATCACCACCACCACCATCACCACCACCACCATCACCACCACCACCATCACCACCACCACCATCATCACCATCATCACCACCACCATCACCACCACCCCCACCACCATCACCACCATCACCACCACCATCACCACCACCACCACCGTCACCACCACCGTCACCACCACCACCACCATCACCACCACCACCACCATCACCACCATCACCACCATCACCACCACCACCATCACCACCATCACCATCACCACCATCACCACCATCACCACCACCATCACCACCATCACTACCACCATCACCACCATCACCACCATCACTACCATCACCACCACCATCACCATCACCACCATCACCACCACCATCACCATCACCACCATCACCACCATCACCACCACCACCATCACCACCACCATCACACCACCACCACCATCACCACCACCACCATCACCACCATCACCACCATCACCACCACCACCACCATCACCACCACCACCACCACCATCACCACCACCATCACCACCATCACCACCACCACCATCACCACCATCACCACCACCACCACCATCACCACCATCACCACCATCACCACCACCACCATCACCACCACCACCATCACCACCATCACCACCACCACCATCACCACCATCACCACCACCATCACCACCATCACCACCACCATCACCACCATCACCACCACCACCATCACCACCACCATCACCACCACCATCACCACCATCACCACCATCACCACCACCACCATCACCACCACCATCACCACCACCACCATCACCACCACCACCACCATCACCACCACCATCACCACCACCACCATCACCACCATCACCACCACCACCACCATAACCACCACCACCATCACCACCACCATCACCACCACCATCACCACCATCACCACCACCATCACCACCACCACCATCACCACCACCACCATCACCACCACCACCACCATCACCACCACCATCACCACCACCATCACCACCACCATCACCACCATCACCACCACCATCACCACCACCATCACCACCATCACCACCACCATCACCACCACCACTCACCGATGGCTACAAAAGTTTGTCTGAGGTCGTTCTTGTCAATGACTCCGTCCCGGTTACGGTCCATGATGGTGAAGACCTGGGGAGTGACACAGTGAGTGACACAGTGAGTGACACAGTGAGTGACACAGTGAGTGACACAGTGAGTGAGTGACACAGTGAGTGACACAGTGAGTGACACAGTGAGTGAGTGACACAGTGAGTGACTCAGTGAGTGAGTGACACAGTGAGTGACACAGTGAGTGACACAGTGAGTGAGTGACACAGTGAGTGACACAGTGAGTGAGTGACACAGTGAGTGAGTGACACAGTGAGTGAGTGACACAGTGAGTGACACAGTGAGTGACACAGTGAGTGACACAATGAGTGGCACAGTGAGTGACACAGTGAGTGACACAGTGAGTGAGTGACACAGTGAGTGACACAGTGAGTGACACAGTGAGTGAGTGACACAGTGAGTGACACAGTGAGTGACTCAGTGAGTGACACAGTGAGTGACACAGTGAGTGAGTGAGTGATACAGTGAGTGACTCAGTGAGTGACACAGTGAGTGACACAGTGAGTGAGTGACACAGTGAGTGACACAGTGAGTGACACAGTGAGTGAGTGACACAGTGAGTGAGTGACACAGTGAGTGACACAGTGAGTGACACAGTGAGTGAGTGACACAGTGAGTGACACAGTGAGTGAGTGACACAGTGAGTGACACAGTGAGTGAGTGACACAGTGAGTGACACAGTGAGTGACACAGTGAGTGAGTGACTCAGTGAGTGACACAGTGAGTGACACAGTGAGTGAGTGACACAGTGAGTGACACAGTGAGTGACACAGTGAGTGACACAGTGAGTGAGTGACACAGTGAGTGACACAGTGAGTGACACAGTGAGTGAGTGACACAGTGAGTGAGTGACACAGTGAGTGACACAGTGAGTGACACAGTGAGTGAGTGACACAGTGAGTGACACAGTGAGTGAGTGACACAGTGAGTGAGTGACACAGTGAGTGACACAGTGAGTGAGTGACACAGTGAGTGACACAGTGAGTGACACAGTGAGTGAGTGACACAGTGAGTGAGTGACACAGTGAGTGACACAGTGAGTGACACAGTGAGTGAGTGACACAGTGAGTGACACAGTGAGTGAGTGACACAGTGAGTGAGTGACACAGTGAGTGACACAGTGAGTGACACAGTGAGTGAGTTACACAGTGAGTGACACAGTGAGTGACACAGTGAGTGACACAGTGAGTGAGTGACACAGTGAGTGACACAGTGAGTGATACTCACATCCTTAAAGTCTTTCATTTGTGCTTCATCAAACTTCACCGTGTTCGCCTTTTTAACCTGCGACAGTGGGGGCAGGAGTTATTTAGAAGTTCAGTGCCAGGCTAGGTGCACTGTGACACTGTACAGTGCCAGGCTAGGTGCACTGTGACACTGTACAGTGCCAGGCTAGGTGCACTGTGACACACTGTACAGTGCCAGGCTAGGTGCACTGTGACACTGTACAGTGCCAGGCTAGGTGCACTGTGACACTGTACAGTGCCAGGCTAGGTGCACTGTGACACTGTACAGTGCCAGGCTAGGTGCACTGTGACCTCCTCATGCACCTGATGATGGTGATGATGATGATAGTGGTGATGGTGGTGGTGATTATGATGGTGGTGATGATGGTGGTGATTATGATAGTGGTGATGGTGGTGGTGATGATGGTGGTGATGGTGGTGGTGGTGATGGTGATGATGGTGGTGGTGGTGGTGATGATGATGATGGTGGTGATGATGGTGGTGGTGATGGTGGTGATGGTGATGATGGTGGTGATGGTGGTGGTGATGATGGTGATGATGGTTGTGGTGATGATGATGATGGTGGTGGTGGTGATGATGATGGTGATGATGGTGGTGGTGATGATGGTGATGGTGGTGATGATGATGGTGATGATGGTGGTGGTGGTGGTGATGATGGTGATGATGGTGGTGGTGGTGGTGATGATGATGGTGATGATGGTGGTGGTGATGATGATGGTGGTGATGGTGGTGGTGATGGTGATTATGAAGGTGATGATGATGATGGTGATGTTGGTGGTGGTGGTGATGATGATGGTGATGATGGTGATGATGGTGGTGATGGTGGTGGTGATGGTGGTGCTGGTGATGGTGGTGGTGATGATGGTTGTGGTGATGATGATGATGATGGTGGTGATGATGATGGTGATGATGGTGGTGGTGATGATGGTGATGGTGGTGATGATGATGCAGGTGATGATGATGATGGTGGTGGTGGTGGTGGTGATGATGGTGATGGTGGTGATGATGATGGTGGTGGTGGTGGTGATGGTGGTGGTGGTGATGATGGTGATGATGGTGATGATGGTGGGGGTGGTGGTGATGATGGTGGTGGTGATGATGATGGTGATGATGATGGTGATGATGATGGTGATGATGGTGGTAGTGATGATGATGGTGTTGGTGATGATTATGGTGGTGGTGGTGATGATAATGGTGACGATGCTAATATTACTGATGATGATGCTACTACTACTGATGATGATGATGATGCTACTACTACTGATGATGATGATGCTACTACTACTGATGATGATGATACTACTACTGCTGATGATGATGCCACTACTACTGATGATGCTACTGCTGCTGATGATGCTACTACTGCTGCTGCTGATGATGCTACTACTGATGATGATGATACTACTACTACTGATGATGATGATGATACTACTACTGCTGATGATGATGCCACTACTGCTGATGATGATGATACTACTACTACTGATAATGGTGCTTCTACTGATGATGATGATAATGATGATGATACTACTACTGCTGATGATGATGCCACTACTGCTGATGATGATGATACTACTACTGCTGATGATGATGCCACTACTACTGATGATGATGCTATTACTGTTGATGATGATGATGCTACTACTGATGATGCTACTACTGCTGATGATGATTATACTACTGCTGCTGCTGATGATGCTACCTACTGCTGATGATAATTATACTACTGCTGCTGCTGATGATACTACTGCTGCTGATGATGATGATATTTCTCAACAGAGCCATCATCAAACTCAACATCATCACACCACTCACCATAGCTGCTGATGATGCTGCTGCTGCTGATGCTGCTGCTGCTGATGATGCTGCTGGGACGGGCCTCTAAGCGGCTCGCGTTTAAATACGAGCGGCGCTTCTGCTGTTGAGCGCCTTACAAGGGTCTCACAACACCCCCGGGGGAGGGCGGATAAATCGAGAACTCAAATCCCCAAGACGGAGCAGCTGCTAGGAGATGGTGGGGAAGGGGGGAGGGGGGGAGGGGGGAGGAGGAGGGGGGGAGGGGGGGAGGGGGCAGGGGGGGGAGGGGGGAGGAGGGGGGAGGGAGGAGGAGGAGGGAGGGGGGAGGGAGGAGGGAGGGGAAGGGGGGAGGGGGAGGAGGGGGGGAGGGGGAGGGAGGGGGAGGGTGAAGGAGGGGGGAGGGGGGGAGGAGGGGGGAGGGAGGAGGAGGGAGGGGGGAGGGGGGAGGAGGGGGAGGGGGGAGGGAGGAGGAGGGGGAGGGGGGGAAGGGGGAGGGGGGAGGGAGGGGGAGGGTGAAGGAGGGGGGAGGGGGGAGGGAGGAGGAGGGGGGAGTGAGGGGGGAGGGGGGAGGAGGGGGTTGAGGTCTCTCCATTGTCAGGATCGAATCCACGGCCTCCTGTAGACCAGGTGAGGAAGTTGACGTCACCTTTGGCGCCTGCTATGCCGAGCAAAGACAAAGCTCCCCCAGGTAGCCTCTATCAGGGCTGTAGGGGCAAGTGGTGAGACACAGACAAAGCTCCCCCAGGTAGCCTCTATCAGGGCTGTAGGGGCAAGTGCTGAGACACAGACAAAGCTCCCCCAGGTAGCCTCTATCAGGGCTGTAGGGGCAAGTGCTGAGACACAGACAAAGCTCCCCCAGGTAGCCTCTATCAGGGCTGTAGGGGCAAGTGCTGAGACACAGACAAAGCTCCCCCAGGTAGCCTCTATCAGGGCTGTAGGGGAAAGTGCTGAGACACAGACAAAGCTCCCCCAGGTAGCCTCCAGCAGGGCTGTAGGGGCAAGTGCTGAGACACAGACAAAGCTCCCCCAGGTAGCCTCTAGCAGGGCTGCAGGGGCAAGTGCTGAGACACAGACAAAGCTCCCCCAGGTAGCCTCTAGCAGGGCTGTAGGGGCAAGTGCTGAGACACAGACAAAGCTCCCCCAGGTAGCCTCTAGCATGGCTGTAGGGGCAAGTGCTGAGACACAGACAAAGCTCCCCCAGGTAGCCTCTAGCAGGGCTGTAGGGGCAAGTGCTGAGACACAGACAAAGATCCCCCAGGTAGCCTCTAGCAGGGCTGTAGGGGCAAGTGCTGAGACGCAGACAAAGCTCCCCCAGGTAGCCTCTAGCAGGGCTGCAGGGGCAAGTGCTGAGACACAGACAAAGCTCCCCCAGGTAGCCTCTAGCAGGGCTCTAGGGGCAAGTGCTGAGACACAGACAAAGCTCCCCCAGGTGGCCTCTAGCAGGGCTTTAGGGGCAAGTGCTGAGACACAGACAAAGCTCCCCCAGGTAGCCTCTAGCAGGGCTCTAGGGGCAAGTGCTGAGACACAGACAAAGCTCCCCCAGGTAGCCTCTGGCAGGGCTGTAGGGGCAAGTGCTGAGACACAGACAAAGCTCCCCCAGGTGGCCTCTAGCAGGGCTCTAGGGGCAAGTGCTGAGACACAGACAAAGCTCCCCCAGGTAGACTCTAGCCGGGCTGTAGGGGCAAGTGCTGAGACACAGACAAAGCTCCCCCAGGTGGCCTCTAGCAGGGCTCTAGGGGCAAGTGCTGAGACACAGACAAAGCTCCCCCAGGTAGCCTCTAGCAGGGCTGTAGGGGCAAGTGCTGAGACACAGACAAAGCTCCCCCAGGTAGCCTCTAGCAGGGCTGCAGGGGCAACAACAACAACAACCGCCATTCGCCACTAAGTGGCGGTGACGTCACCACGACGCTTGTGCCAGGCTATGTGAACCTTCAGGCTACGTGAAGTGTCGAACGCCCGCTGGCAGGAGGTCACGGAACAGACCCAGCAGGTGCCAGGGGTCGACTGACTGAGATGACTGGCTGGTGCACCACCTGTGCCCCCTACTGTGCCAACCTGCTGTGCTTTATCCACCCGGCGCTCCGCTCGTTGTTGTGAGCGTCGCTCCTCTGCCCTCCGTTGTTGTTGGAGGGCGACTGCCTCTAATTTCCCAGTAGCCTCAAGGTGCACCTAGCCTGGCACTGCCCAGTAGCAGCGTCCTTCACGAGCCTCCTCCACAGAGGCCGATCTTGACACCGCTGGTACCAGTCATCGGCAAGTCCACTCAGCTCCACGTCCTCCTGTACCACATCACTCCATCTCTTCTCTAGCCCGTGCCACGCCCGTTTAGCCCCCTCGATCCGGCCGAACAAAAGCTGTTTCGGCATGCGGTGGCTGGGCATGCGGGCTACACGACCCAGCCATCGCAGCCTTGCCTGCCGGAGAAGCTCACCGATGGGACCTTGTCCAGATCTTTCAAGGATTTGTGAGCTCCTCACACAATCCAGCCTGGTTACACTCAGGATTTATCGTAGGCAGGCTAGCCTAAATGTTTCTAACCGGTGAAGATGCTCCATTAGGGGGGGTCCACGTTTCACAAGCGTAGAGAAGGGAGGGAATGACCGTGGCCGAGAAGACCTGAAGCTTAGTGCGGAGCGACAGACCAGGTAGCTTCCACACAGCGTTACACAACCGATGAAAATATATTTGCCGCTCGACTGATTCGGAGTGAGACCTCTGCTGTTAAACTGGAGCCGGTCATAAACACACTGCCCAGGTATGGGAAACTCTCCACTCTCTACACAACTGCCCATTCACCGATTGGGAGTTGTGGGGGTGGAGTGTCCGATGGTACAAAATACCCAGGCAGGTGCTTAGTTTTGGTGGGGCTGATGGTAAGGCCCCACCTCTGAATGAGCAGCAATTACCAAATCATCGGCATACATAACGTGGTTGACCAATAGGGAGTCATCCCTTGACCGCACCTGGGCATCGATTAGCCTCCCATTATATCTGTACCAAATTGAAATTTCCCCGGTATAGCTATTGAAGGCTTCACGAACTATGTGGTCAAAATAGATGTTAAATAATGTGGGTGCCAGAGGACATCCCTCTCGCACCCCAAGGTGTACAGGGAATGGCTCTGATTCCCGGCCACGTAGTTTTACCCGGGCCCGCTCACCATCATGAAGGTCCTTAATGATCGTGAGCAGAGGGTCAGGTACTCCAAAAGCACGAAGAACAACCCAGAGCCCAGGCCTACTGTGGTATCATAGGCCTTGACCAGGTCAATAAAGCAGAGATGTAGGTCTTGTTGGAATTCCCTACACCTCTGCTGTAGCAGACGGACAGAAAATATGTCATCCGTGCAGGACCGCCCTTTCCTGAAACCGCATTGGGGCTCCGCAAGCCTCTCCTCAGCGTGCCTGGCAAGGCGATGTTGAATCATTCTTTCCAGGACCTTTCCCGGCACACTGAGGAGTGAGATGCCCCTGTAGTTGTTACAGTCTGTGCCGTCCCCCTTCTTAAAGAGGGGGACCACCAGGGCATCCTTCCAATCCTGCGGAACCCGTCCAGTGGTCCAGACTGTTGTTATGATGTCATGTAGGGCAGTCTGTGCACAAACGCCACCCTCCCTCAGCATTTCGCTTGGGAGATCATCTCTCCCCGCTGCCTTT